TGTTTCTTGCTGAAGGGGCAAAAATGCTGCTGTTAAATTGCATAACCATTTAAAACAACATTTACAAAAGGAGATACTGAAAGTCTGTGCTGTTACTGGGTCCTTTGCTGCAAGGCAGGTGGGAAGGGAGGTGTTTTCACAGTTCATCTGGGCAGAACCAAGCAGGCGACTACCCCACGACTGTGCCTGTAACGAACGCTCCAGAAGCAGCATCACACAAGAAATGACGCAACTGACTTCAGCATGCCTGTTGCTGTTCAGCTTTGAACAAGCTACCATTAACTCAGCCAGGCTAGACAAAAGACAAGGTATCGTTGTTATTCTTGATACATGATTTCCAAACAAAGGCAAGGGGCATTCTTCTGGGAAAAAAAAATAAGGCATATTTAGAGATCCAAAGTGCAACACACTTAAAGGTTCAACAGTATATGGGACTCGTGATCCAAAGTACAATGCACTGTACTACTGAGAGCTCCATATTCAGAGAACAGAAAGACACAGTGGTTTGCTTCCTTCCCCATTAGGATTTAACAGGCTTTATACTGAGGCTACTTTATACTGAGAACTACTAAAACTGTAAAGGCCAAAAAAAAATATATTAAAAAAAATAATCAAAATACTGCATAGCTTCCAGCAACATTCTCTCCCTCCTCAGAAAAGGTCAGAGCTGCCCAGTTTTATTTAATCCTTTATATGCCAGAAGGCAAAGAACAGTAAAGGTTACTTCTCAGGAAAGTTTTCTCTCCGTCCAAAATCACAGAACATCCCCAAGTCTGATAAAAGCCCATGCACACGAAATTACAAAATTCTGACAGCACAGCTTACAAAAAGCAAAACTCAAAAAAGGGAAAGCCACACAGCAGGGTTGCACTAACCCCTTCAGTAACACACTGCTCTTGAAAAGGACTGCAAGTTTTCATAGTCTTTGGAAATAAAGTCCTGGCCCACAGACTACAGAGCAGCCTCTCCCTTCCCTTTTACTGACACTGCACAACTGGCAAGCTGAAGGTCTCAAACCTGACTCAACATCAATACACTCTTTAAAAATTTTCTGTTATAGTTAGAGAAGGTAAATTGACAAAGAATACTAAACAAACACAGATTAAAGGTACCATGCACCAAGGTATTCACAACCAGCATAACTGTAACGCCCTTTCCACACTACAGCAGCCATAGGTCCAGTTTAGATTACAGAGCACGTATGCTTAAATGACCAAGACAGAACCACCCAACACAAGCTCAGTTTTCTCATCACAGCTCCGTCCTTTCTTAAAATGTATACTTTAGTTTCTGAGAAATCTAACAAGTTTGTATTGTAATTTATTTTCGCATTCTGTCTTAGCAGCACAGCTCTGGAGACAGCAAAGTGACACCGTCAGTCTCTTTCTCTATAGGACATTTATAAATGGCAAGGTTAGATTTTATTCATAATCCACCTTGTGCCTTTTAATAATACATGCTAACATATTGTGACGACTCCTTCTAGGAAAGTTCAACTCAAACAATTATAATCGAAATAATTCAATACAATTATACTTGAAATAACAGTCTGCAAATTGCAGTTCTCTCTCACTATAAATCAAGATAAATAAAGCATTTTTATCAGAGATTTTTAAAAAATGGTTCTTCTTTCCCACAAAGAGATCCTAGTCCCATAGCTGAAGAACTGCTATCAAAAAGCAAAGAGTAATCCCAAACCACAGTTATTTAAAAAAAAAAAAAAGAGAGAGAGACAGAAGGGAACAGATACTTACATGTTGGGAACCCACAAACGGACTGTTTTGTCCCTAGAGCCTGAAGCCACCAGGTGACCAGAAGGTGAGAACTGAACACACATCACAGCATCTTTGTGGCCCACGAAGCGATAGGCTCTTATCTGAGGTTTCATACTCCAGATCATCATGCAAGAATCCATCGAGCCACTTGCTGAAATAAAAAGGAAAAACAAAATCACACAAAACCAAACTTGCCTTAGTTCTCCTCCAATTACACTGAAACTACATTTCACACTCAGTTCACCATCACAGCTTCCAGCAATCTCAAGCACATTGTCCTTGAAGCCTCCCTGATGTACTCCACACGATATATTTCGTTAGTGATTCAAATCAAGTCTGAGTTGTGTTGGATTGGACTGACAATTCACTTTCCAGAATAAGGTCATGCAACAGCTGCAGAGGCGAAAACCACAAGTTGCAAGACTTCTTGCAAACAAATGCACTCATAGAAGATGTGTGAATGAAAGTTCTCTCATCACATTTTTACTGGGAACCTGAGGCAGCCATCAGCTGCAGCAGGTTAAATATCAATTAACACACTAGAGATTAGGCAGAGAAGTCCTGGGAGTTGGTGACTCACAGGCAACGCAGCCACATCTCCTTCCAACACCTCTCCCTTGTTGCAAAGCATCGATCAACACCAGCTCAGCAGTTTTTAGCAATATATGAAAAATACAAGCTTGCAATGCTACTGGAGCAGTGTTCAGTTCGCTCTTAGTAGGAAGGATCACAGCAGGACTTGATGGTAGTCATGAGAGGCTTTAAGGAACTGTGGATGGAGACAGAGTGCCTCCATCTACTCACATCCATTCCTCCACTCAGGCCTACTTCTGTACTCACCTGTGGGAACAAAAAACAATGAACCAGCCACCACAACTTGCCTTTAATCTTGCGCTTCTAAGAAAGGGGTGGAAGAGGGCAAAGCCATGCTCCAAAGACAAGAAGGAACAGAAAGGGCTGGAGGAGGACCGCAGAGGGCAAAATGTACTTACAGGAAGGTGACCATTCCCCGGGACAGATGCTGCTTTTTCAAGATCTCCCTCAGCAGCAAGAGCAAAGGCTCACTTAGGCAGAAGGCAGAGTTCAGGTGCACGCGCACATCCATTGAAAGCACAACCGACAACTCATCTCCGTGACGCTGAACTTCACACAAGCTACATTCCCCTCCCTATCTGCCAGGAGCAGTATCGGTCCCTGCCAAGAATACCAGGCAATGGGTTTCCCAAACGCAAGAACAAATTCCACTGCAGACTAGAACTCCCCTGCCCAGTCGCACCACTGACTCAGTGCAATGAAAACTGAGGAGCTGCTCATCCCCTGAAGCCCAGACTGTGTGAAGCCTGTAGCACTGGGACACTAGTCGTTTTTAGAAGGGCAAGCTTATGCCCACAGCAACTTAAAATCTCAAACAAGTACAGTAAAAATATCCCTTCAGACCAATTCTGATGCCTAAATAACAGAAAACTTTGTAGATTTTCCACAGGCTAATAGAGAATATGCACATCTTTGCCTGCCAACAAACCCAAGCATCTGTATCTTTCTACCCAAGTGCCAAGTGGAGCATATCTCCAGGGAGATCTTAAGATGTTCCTAGGGGAAAAGAAAAAAAGCAGTTTGACAGTAGGTTCTGACACGCTAGGATCACAATTACAAGAATATTTCAATTCATTAGTGTTATGGCCAAATGCCAAACAGATTTTGCTGGAAATATTCTTCTGTTTCACAGTCATTTCAACACAAAAGATACTCATCTCTCTTCCTCCTATTGAGCTGGGATTAACATATGCCCATTTCAAACAAGAACATTCATTACGCATGTCCCCTAAGGGAAACAAAAAAAAACCTCCTCAGATATTTGTCAGTTCAATTATTGGTTTTGTATTTAATACATGCAACACCTTTCCTTAGGGATATTAAAATTTAAGGGGAGACAACTGTGTAAAAGTAGATAGAGCACACAACCTAGTGTTAGTTAGTCATAACTACACTAGGTCCTGTCTGGCAAGGATATTAAGTTGCAAGATCACAGCTTCCCCAAGACTGATGTTAAAAAAATTAAGGAAAATACTACTAACATCTCAATAAGGCACTTCAGTATGATACTGCTTACAGTCCTTACTGAACTAGGCAAGCCATCTAATGGAATAAAAAGACCAAGTCCTCAAAAGAACTTTAAAATCTCATAAGAGTCAAGTACACGACTGACTCAACAGTACCTAAAAAAGAAACATTCCCTTTCTTATCTGATCTGATTTACTAAAAATACCAAGGGCAACTATTTCATGGTCTAGATGGTGGCCAAGGCCCCCACGCTACTTCTGAAAGGCCATTCAAAAGCAACACCAAGTTTCATTCAGAGCACCCTTGCTAAAGAGATCGGCGCTGACTGGAAAACCTTTTAGGGATACACCAAGGGAATCATGGACACAGAGAGAACCCTTGCTCTGCAATCAAAGATGCAGGAAGTGGAAAGGAGAAGATGGCAAACACCAGTAAAAACAAGCAGCAGGGAAAAAGGGGCTCCAAGACAAGTTTGATCCATTTGCATTTTCTTGCAGCTCCCAGAGTATTGGATTATTCCCTGCTACACAAATGTATTTCTAGTTACTCATGGCTACTGCGCCAATCACCTGCCAGGCATATTGCCTTAAATGATCATTTCTGCCTTAGTTTTTTTGCAAACCAACGCAACATCCACCACGCTACACACGCTGAACAGCAACTTCACCAAGAGCCAAAACCCCTCCTGGTTCTTTCTCAGTACATGCATGTTGGGTTACTGAATAGCAACTAGGACACAAACCTCGGCATAACCACAGGCAGTTGTCTAAAAGGGAGAAATGGAAGATGGAAAAGAAAAGCAAGGTTTTACCTTAAGTCGACTGCACAGTAAAGCCAGGTATGTGAAATAAGCTCTAGCTGGATGCATGCAATCTGCCACCCCTATGATTCAAGAGGACTTTTTGCAAAGCACACAGAAGTGTTCATCCTGAAATTCTCCTAAATCACTTTATCATGAAAACAAGTTCTTTGCTCTTGTAGAGCTTAGTACCTCCATTGTTCCCCCCAATTTAAGTAAAACAGAAACTGTTTCTTTATTATCTGGCCACCAAAACATAGGCAATTTACCCAATTGTTTCTTATTGAGACTGAAGTCCACACTAGTGACAGCATCTCTGTGGCCTCTGAAGTGTCTCTCCAGGGACGGATCTTCCTAGAAAACAATAAAGTTCAGACACCACAGATTAAGAACCATCTTTGCACAATAAAACTATTTTACTCCTACAACAAGCAAATCAATATTCATCCCACAAAAGCCAGGCAGAGATAAGAATAACATGCAGCACAAAAATGTAAATTTCACACAAACTTTAAGAGAGGCAAATTAGCCAAACTGGTAACACCCCTGGATCTTAGGTATTTTGCACAAATCATTCATGCGTATTTACAACATACTTCTGGCACAGAGACCTCAAAACTGACTTCAGAACAGATCAGCCAGGTCAATGCCCACCTGAGCAGGCAGTCAAGCCCAACTTCGCTCTGACAACTGCTCATCTCAACCCAAGTGTAGCCAAGAGGCCCCTGTTTGCACAAAAAGGACAAATTTGCAAGACTTAAAGACCTGCTGAAACAGACAGGTAGAACCCCCTACCTGTGGGGAACACAGCATGTCCCTACACAGCACCTTACTGCAAAGGCCAAACAAAGCCTGAGGTCAGGCAGATACCAAACAAAAACAACAACAAACACTGAGAAAAACAAGAGGGTTTAACACCTGAAAGTAGTCCAGACTTTCAAAAGGCTGATCAGCCTTCAATTTCTGCTCTCACACACACAGTCTGTGCCTCTCTGGCAATTCCCACCACACATCGCTCCCCCTCAGAACCTGACCGCAGCCCCAGCCTGCTCAAGAAAAGCACCCAGCCCGAGAAAAACAGGGCTGACCTACCCCCGTAACACCCAGCACCAG